CAGCCAATCAGAGCAGAGCTCAACATTATTATTCATGACCCTTCCAAATAAGGTAAAAACAGACCATTTCATTCTAGGGACAAATCCTAGGGTTGTAAAAAAATGTACATGTAAAACCATTTCTGGAGATTTTTTGCCCTTACCTAAGCCACATACCTTCTATGTAGATATCAGAGAACAATTTAAAATATTGTATCAATGCATTCTATGGCACCTTTAAATACATTCTTTTATTAAATGGTTGATTATTATGTTTGCAAACAGCACTGTCTTACGTAAAAACAGCAGATTCTGTATTTCTAAAACTGCATCAACATGCAAATCTGCTGTAATAACTTTTTAAAAACTTAAAATGATTTAAGAAGATTTGAATACGTTTTGATTTATTTAGCCTGTTGCAGTCACTGCATAATATCATACATCCATCAGTATTATTTCATGGTTTTCATGAATTTGCTATTATTGAGATACTATACTATTATTAACACTCTTCATTAATACATTCAAAAAAGATCTGTAAGTAATGATTGTGAAGCTACTGCATTGTTTTGCTATAAATATGCTGCTGTGAGTAACGGACTGTGCTGGCCAGCGGTATCTCTGCCACTTAAGACAGTTTTATCTGTTCTTGAAATAATATAACTGCTTCCCATCTCTGGTACTGCAGCCGTGCTCCTCATAACGCTTCATATTCATCATTGCTGTGTTCCAGCTGAACGAGCATCTCATCAGTCCCAAGGAGTTTGTCTATATAGCAGGAAAGTCCACGCTGAAGGACTGGAAGAGAGCCATTCGCCTCAATGGGACCATGTTAAGGTTTGTGGCAGAAGAAGAATATAAACCAGAAATACATCCCAGCGCTGGCAGTTTTTATAGCAGTATATTAATATAAAGCACAAATGCTCATCCCAGATTTCATTGGTTATCAAACTGAAAATTAAAATACTGAAGGTGTTGATCTTATTATCTGACCTTTTATAATTAAATATAAATTCTTTAAATACTTAAATATTTTTAACAAGGATGCATTAAATTGATCAAAAGTGACAGTAAGACATTTATAATGTTGCAAAAGATTGCTGTTTCAAACAAATGCTGTTCTTTTGAACTTTTCATTCATCAAAGAAAAAAATGCATAATGGTTTCTACAAAAATATTAATCGGCACAACTGTTTTTAACATTGATAAGAATCATTATGTTGTTTCTTGAGCAGCAAATCAGCATATTAGAATGATTTCTGAAGGATCATGTGACACTGAAGACTGGAGTAATGGAGATTTTTTGCCCTTACCTAAGCCACATACCTTCTATGTAGATATCAGAGAACAATTTAAAATATTGTATCAATGCATTCTATGGCACCTTTAAATACATTCTTTTATTAAATGGTTGATTATTATGTTTGCAAACAGCACTGTCTTACGTAAAAACAGCAGATTCTGTATTTCTAAAACTGCATCAACATGCAAATCTGCTGTAATAACTTTTTAAAAACTTAAAATGATTTAAGAAGATTTGAATACGTTTTGATTTATTTAGCCTGTTGCAGTCACTGCATAATATCATACATCCATCAGTATTATTTCATGGTTTTCATGAATTTGCTATTATTGAGATACTATACTATTATTAACACTCTTCATTAATACATTCAAAAAAGATCTGTAAGTAATGATTGTGAAGCTACTGCATTGTTTTGCTATAAATATGCTGCTGTGAGTAACGGACTGTGCTGGCCAGCGGTATCTCTGCCACTTAAGACAGTTTTATCTGTTCTTGAAATAATATAACTGCTTCCCATCTCTGGTACTGCAGCCGTGCTCCTCATAACGCTTCATATTCATCATTGCTGTGTTCCAGCTGAACGAGCATCTCATCAGTCCCAAGGAGTTTGTCTATATAGCAGGAAAGTCCACGCTGAAGGACTGGAAGAGAGCCATTCGCCTCAATGGGACCATGTTAAGGTTTGTGGCAGAAGAAGAATATAAACCAGAAATACATCCCAGCGCTGGCAGTTTTTATAGCAGTATATTAATATAAAGCACAAATGCTCATCCCAGATTTCATTGGTTATCAAACTGAAAATTAAAATACTGAAGGTGTTGATCTTATTATCTGACCTTTTATAATTAAATATAAATTCTTTAAATACTTAAATATTTTTAACAAGGATGCATTAAATTGATCAAAAGTGACAGTAAGACATTTATAATGTTGCAAAAGATTGCTGTTTCAAACAAATGCTGGTTAAAGGTCAGAGTGACATTGCGCTAAACCTGTTCATGCTAAACAACCTAATGCTGCAATCAGTTTGAACCCACTTCCATTTATTTTCCCACATATTTGCTACTGGTCAAACATTTGGACACACTTTGTTTCTTATAATCCTAAAAACCTTTTGATGTGCATGCTCTTATGTTTCAGTGCTTGAAATTAGTTTTGTTGCGTATGTATGTCTTTGATATTCAAATTTGATTCATTATTAATGTAATATTAAGGATATATTAATTATTAATATGATATATGTGACCCTGGACCACAAAAGCAGTCTTAAGTCGCTGGGGATTTGCTGCAGATGTACACAAATATTCTATTAGACTTCTGACTGATTTGATATTGTTCATTACTTGAATCTGTCAACAGATGCTGCTCTGCTCAACAATATAGTCCAGAACTTCGGGATGTTGGACCTGGTGAAGAAAGTTCTTGCCAGTCACAAAAGCCAGATGGACCGCTGTAGGGAGCAGTACACACGCAGCTTAGTGGGTCAGTACCTGTTTTTGGGTATATCTCCTTATCCAGCCACATATTGTTTGTTTATTCTGTGCTTTTAAAGGAAAAAGTAAGTGAGCTTAACTTTTTTGCATTTATAGCCCTAGAGCAACAGTGTGACGAGCATCGCAAACGCGCCAAAGAACTGAAGAGCAAATCCCAGCACCTCAACAACGTCCTGATGACCATGACCCCCGTGACCTCGCCTCCCACTGCCAAACGCCCCTGTCTGACCCGTGCCGTCTCGGGTCCCGCCACCGTGGCTGCCACGCCCGCCCAGCCCATGCACTTCACCCTGCCCATCACGCAGCTCGCTGGCATCCCGCTGGACAAAGTGCTGTCCGCTCAGACTCAGTCACCCCTGATCGGCGGATACACGGTGCTGACATCACCCGGAGGGACCGAACTCCAGTCTGAAGGCTCTAATTTAACCGTGTTGAGCACCGCCGCGGTTCCGCAGGGGTCCGCGGCACCCACTATCGTCAAAGTGGTCAGTCCGTTTCAGCTGGTCACGTTGCCCGCAGTGGGAGCTGGAGCTATGGTGCAGAACCTGGCAGCACCAGTAGGGGGCGCAGCAGGCGGCACTGTAGTCGCGGTACCCGTAAGCACAGTCAGCGGTGTCAGTAGCGTAAACACTGCCACTGAGGAGACCGTTGGGCCGCAGGCAGAAGCGGCTACAGAACAGAGAGATGACCAGTAGGAGTGAAATTCTGAATCTGTGAAGTTCAGATTTGATGTCAGTGTATTGTAAAATTTGTATATAGATGATGAACTTTTTTGCATTTTTATGGTTAATTTGAAACTTTTTTTGCTAAAACAGCCATGTTATTGTAATGAATGTCAGTTGTTGCATTGCATTTGATTTAATTGTAACCTAACTGCAATTTGGTGAAATATAGGCTGAATTGTTTAAAGCAATAGTTCACCCAAAAATTAATCATCATTTACTCACCCTCAAGTTGTTCCAAACCTGTGTGAGTTTCTTTCTTCTGTGGCGCATAAAAGAAGATATTTTGAAGAATGTTGGTAACCAAAGAGTTGCCGGTAGCCATTGACTTCCATAGTATTTTTTTCTCCATACTATGGAAGTCAATGGCTACTGTCAACAGTTTGGTTTCCAACATTTTGCAAAATATCTTCTGTGTTCAACTGAAGAAAGAAGTTCATACATTTGGAACAACTTGAGGGTGAATAGATGATGATAGAATTTTTATTTTGGATGAACTACCCCTTTAAGGATTTAAAAAAAAAAGAGACATAAGGCACATTTTGTCCTTAAATTTTCATGGTTGACCAGTGTGTGTATAATTTGTAGTTATAATGTTTTTTTGATATAACGCTCACTCCATTATTTATGCTGTTCACATAACACATTTTCTCTATCAGTTCTTTTCCATATTGATGTCTTTCATTGTAGTATTTCTGAAAATACTTGTTACAGTGTAACCTGTACTTGACCTAAATGATTATTTAAAATGGACCATAACTATCTTGTCTTTCAAAATAAATACAAATTGGACAATACTGCAAATTGAGCTCATAATGATATCCAAGATCAAATGTCAAATTTTAAGAATAGGCGGTCATTGAAAAAAACTGATTCTAAATATATTCCTTGTAGTTCAACAGTGGACTGTTTTGCATTCCCCCAACACACTTACCATAGTAAAACAAGGTGTTTTAGCTTTTTCACAGAAGAGATGTAAGGTCTGAGGTGGTTTTTGTATATCACCAAGTCTTTGTTCAGCACAGCACTACAGGAAAACATTATTTTCATGTGTTGAATTAGACCAACAAGTGGCGCTATTTAGCTAAACATTATTCTGCACTTTGAGCTTTGACTTTGAGATGGACAATACTGAAAGGAACATCTAGAGTAAAAATGGTTTAAGCTAATAATAAATCGTTAAGTAAAATAGTAGTAAATCGTAACATTTCGTCTTTAATTGATTAGAAATCACAATATTTCGTTTTATAGTTTTAAGATGTATATATAAACATATATACGAACAATTTTAGCAGGTAATGTTCTTGCCCTTTATTGGTCATCTTAAACAAGCATTATCTGCAGTCGGTTGTCTGATTGCTTACACAAGGGGTAAAGTTAACGGGAAACAACAACAAGTGGTCGGTCACTGAAACGTCCTGAGCGCATGATTGACCGGTTGACTGGTGATTGATGGTGTCAAGAGGTCAGCAGCCATTTGGGATAGTAAAACAGCCTCAACATGCAGTGTTGCCAACTAATTTTCAGGGGAAGTTGCTAAAGGAAGGTTGATTTGTTGCTAAAAGTTGCTAAATGATGTTGTGATGTCAAAATTGTCAAATCTCAGCAAAAACATATATTTTTATATGTTCATTTAGATTTGTTCTTAATAATATAAATGCATAATATAATATTAAAATATAAATACACATTTTTAAATACACTGAATTATCGAAAGCTTACACATTTTTGAACGATTACAATTTAAGTTTTTATTATCTGCTAAAAGTTGCCAAATTAATTTAAAAAAATAGCTAAATATGTTGCTAGGTGCTTTTGGAAGAAACAGTTGCTAGGGTAGTCTGAAAAGTTGCTAAATTTAGCAACAAAATTGCTAAGTTGGCAACACTGTCAACACGTGTAAGATCATCACATTTGGGGGGGGGGGGACTGAAATGCGTTGGCTTAATGAGTTCTGATTGGGTTATCTATGATACAATAGCCTAAAAAGCATAGTCCTCGTACGATGAGGGCTCTTCATCAGAGCGCGCGGAGATTTTAAAATGGCGCCGTAAAAACCCGCCATATCGCTTTTGGTTGTCCCACCTCAACTTCGGGCGAATTCTTCGCATAAACCCGCCGTATCTCTTCTGCAACACCTGCGGGCTGGTGTTATCCACAAAGTTGTTTCTTTTTGGCCCGAATTTGCGGAGAAACCCGCCGTAACGTTTGGCTTCGTTTAGAGGAACGTCGTTATCATAAACTACCGTTTCGTTTTCCGCAGTCACGTCTTTGCCCTCGTCGTTTTCCGTGATCGACGGGACGTCTCGCTCGCCCAGTTTCGAGAGCGACTGTCCGTATTTCTTCGCGAACAGTCCTTTTAGTATGGCGTTCTCCTTCCATGGTGAGGCGAAAAACTTATTTTTATTCTTATCTATCCTCTTGATGAAGCCCCCGTATCGTTTGACCAGGTTGGACGCCTTCTCCTGGAGATCCTCTGCGTTTAACGCGCTTCGTTCTCCGTCGGCGTCTGGGTTGAGCTCCGCGAATTCATCTGAAAGCTCCTGTAAAGCCTTCTCACATCTGTCTAATGTACTAGTAGACGGAACGGCTCCTTCACATTCTAAAGTGCAAGTCTGCAGAAAGAAAAGTAGGTTCAGATTGACTCTGCGCACTCTTGAAAATAAAAGTTTCAGGATTTTGCATTCTGACACCTGACGTTCCTCAAAGAACGTTTTATGAGCTAGTTCTTTAGTAAAGCCATCACATAAAGAAAGAAGCCAGTACACGTTCTGCAGAATCTAAAATTAAACATTAAGTGCTTTTTAATCTCGAAAGAATCATATAGGCTACCAACTCGAGAACTCCATACAGCCAAAAATAGTTATTGATTATAAGATGGTTGTTTGAAAAAACATGTAGGCGGCTATTATTATTTTTTAAAGTTTGCTCTTGATAAACATTAAGAATAGAACCAATTCAGAGGTTTTATTGTATGGTGCCATAAAGATTTTTTTACAAATAACATTTTAACTGTAAAAACATCTAAACCTTTTTTTTTTTTTTATCTAAACGTTGTATGCCGAAACCGTAATTTGTAATTTTACAGCGGAAAGCCATATCTAATATGTATTTTTTTTCAGTATAGGTTTCTCCAATATGATAATCTAAACCAGTGGTTCCCAACACTGGTCCTGGAGGCACCCCAACACTGCACATTTTGCATGTCTCCTTTCTCTGACACACCAATTTCAGGTCTTGGAGTCTCTACTAATGAGCTGATGACCTGAATCAGGTGTGTTTGATTAAGGAGACATGCAAAACATGCAGTGTTGGGGTGCCTCCAGGACCAGGGTTGGGAACCACTGATCTAAACGATCGAGCTTTCGCCGCGCTCTCCATGGTGCTGAATGCGCCCGCCCCAAAAGAGATGCGCCCAGTTTAGTTGTAAATGACAAAGGATGCGAACATTTCTAATTTCTATTACAGAGGAACCTTTCTGTTTTTCATTTATAAGTGTTAGATTTGTATTCGATTTAGTTTCAAGTTAGTCTCTACTTTTTCTTTCATATTACCATTCATTTGATAATTTACATTATGCTACCATCCATGCTTCATTTGTTCAATTTAGTCAGTGCTTTATACTATTTGCACTCCTGATTAGACGCTAACTTTATTTCACTGTGCATAGTACAAGTAGACTACAAAACCAATAACGATAAAGTTGCATCTGTTTCTGTCGGTTTTTCCAACTTTTTTCATTCATTACATTTATGACAAAGTTAAGTGCATGTAAACACTGCTTCAAAATAAGGAGAACTGAGAGTAATCTTACCAAGCGGTTCACTGCAGAGTCCAGGTCGGAGATCTGTTGCGCGCATCTCATGCATTGCGCTGAGCAATCTGCCTGACTCAAGGTTGGCAAGCTCAGCATCAACACCAAAACATGCCACTCCATCATCTACAGCGATTCCTGTGGTGCGAGAGAAGAAAACGAGCTTTAATGCACTATCTCAGATAATCTTCTCTGCTGGGAGGTGTTTGAGGTTTTTCAACAATTCATCAATTATGTTTGAGGTCTTTGTTTGTCTAGGTAGGCTATGTTGTCATTTCTTACCCGTTTAATATCCCAAACCTTTAGTAGGTACGTGTGCCAACACAAAATCTCCTCTGTTAGCCTACCTTGAGTACCTACAGAGCTTCTTGTTCTCCAAGCGTCAAGGCGATCACTTGGCGAAGCTGGCTGAAACTTCTTTGTTCTCGTGTCCTTTGACGAAGTCACTCTTTATCCATCTACGGTTTGCTCTTACTTGGATTCAGTCTCCATACTTTTATTCACACAGCCACCTGAATGAACCAATGAGAACAACGAGCCAGCGGATTGACTGGTCCGACCCACGCGATGATGCAGCGTTTCAGGAATAATAATAATTAAAACAATAATGAAATGTGCCAATACCCAGCAAACATTTGGACGTTTAATGACCGTTGAAAAGACGTCCCTCCGACACGTCCCGTCATGGTTGAAAAATATATCCAAAATGAAAATTGAACCGACGTCTTTGACGTCTTCTGTCCGTGAATTACACGTCTTTTCTGCACGTCCCTGGACGTCTAAATGTGTCATCTTCTGGATGTTTATAAGATGTGTTGCTGCATAATTTAAGTATAAGCCTGCATATAAAATAATCACACACCCATTGTGCAACATCGTGAAAGGCACATCTGAATTTGACCAATGTTCTAAAAAGGTCCAAAATCGGTCCAGTCAGACCTGAACGTCTATAAAACGTTTTAATCACGTGTATCACAAACAATAACACATTTGTGGACTAAAGTAAAAAGAAGAGTGTTCTAATTTACCACATATTTTGTGAATACTACATTTAAAAAAAAATGTTATTCCATTTGTTAAACAGCTACTATTCAAACAAGAAAATAAAAATAGTAGAATGTGGTTAAGTCTGAGTCTATGACAATGGCATTTTCTCTAACATTTTTACATTAATGGTCTATTTCTTCCTGTTACTCTGTACTTACCAACAATTCTTTGAATGCTATAAAACCATCTCCCTGTTCTTTCTTCTTCCCAATATTTCTGCCATCTATTCTTCACATGTTGCTTGATTAAACACTTCATTTCGGGAAAATGCGTTAACGCTCTCTCGCGAGATAATCTATCCTATCGCGGGATTTTGCAAAAAATATATACATCTTGGCAGCAGAGTTTTGGAAATTCACATAAAACTCAGACTTGAAATGGTGACCGGATATATATCTGTTTCATATGTATATGCATAAATTTCATTAAAAAATAAAATCGTATTGTAATGTATAGGGAAAACGGGTCGAATAATGACTCAAATCCAGTGGCTTCACAATTACTTAACCACACAGGGCACTTTGTGAATACAATTAGTCATTAAAATAAATACAAATGATCGTGATGTAAATATAAATGATTGTGTATTTCATAAAGATTTATTGATTTTTTACAATTGGTCTTGGTCGACTATAGACGTGTAAAGGACGTCAGTGGACGTTAGGCTAGCCACAACCTCTTAAAAACTACTTAGGACACTTAATTTAATTATTGGAGTATTAACAAAGGTGTAAGCACAATTGCTTTTGCATATTTCATAGGAATTTCATAGAGGGTCGTGATGGACTATAAATGCACGTTTAAAGGACGTTAGTGGACAACGTCCTCTCACAACTGATTTACAACAGGGTATACATATTGTACTACACTTAGCTAAAAAAGTCAAGGTAACAATTATATATGCAACCCCAGATAACTGTAGAGATGCACAAACGTATCTGAATGCATTTTTAGGAAATGTTCTGTGTTACATATTTTTACCGATTTATGCCGTCCTACCGCGACTATTTTTGGCCAGGGACACGACGTTGCCGTCGGACCAATGTTTGCTGGGTATTAACGCAAAAGGGTTAAGAATGTTTTTTAAACATTATATGCATAGGCTTCAATGTTTAATAGTTAGGCTATACGAAGTTAGTTATAATTATTTACTTCACAAGGGTAGAATAGTCTTTCATACAATTAAAAACACACCCACTTTGAAGGGGAGGGTGTGCCACGGGTAACTTGTATTACTACTGAGTTGCAGCATTAGCTCAAGGCTGCAGGTTTGTCTTCTCTTTTCAACGACCACAGCTCCTCTTTTTAATTCCATTCTCATTCAACAAGTCCGGTAAATTTGCGGTGAAAGAAATCACAGTTCTTTAAAATATATCCAGACTAGAGTAAGGCCCTCTTTTCCACGAATGGAGTCTTTGTCCTCCGTTAACCTCTCGGGCTTAAGGGATGTTCCGGTCGACATTGCGTTCCGTTCCGTTCATCATGCGCGTAACGCTCCCGGAACTCCAAACTTCAGTATTGGGCGATTCAAAGAAAGACAGCTGCAGTAAATCTAGTGCCGTGGAAACAGCCTATTATGACCCATTTCTAATGAATCGATTATTTTTACTCAAACGTTCTTAAACAGAACACTGACGTTTTTTTTGTTTGTTTGTTTTTTTTGTAATACACTTGTGATATGCAAAACTATAATAAAGTAATAAATAATCAAATTTTTATATGTTTTTGTTGTATCCTCCAGTAACGCAAAGCACTGTTGCTATGGATACGTCCTCACTCGAGCATGATTTATTTTCGCTTCAGCATACAGGTGCATCTCAATAAATTAGAATGTCATGGAAAAGTTCATTTCAGTAATTCAACTCAAATTGTGAAACTCGTGTATTAAATATTCTAATTTATTGAGATGCACCTGTATATTTGAAATCTATTGAAAACGCTCTCTGACTAATTTGGCTAAGTTTTGGTATGATGTGGATTTTAATTTTATTTTATACAATACGTGGATCTGTGAATTATACAATGACCTTAAAGGCGATTTTTTTTTAGTCCGTTTTTTTCTGGACGCAATCTGCAAGGTTTCTCAAGCGCAAACAAAAAATTATTTTGCTAACGCTAATTATCTAAAACCAAAAACACAAAAGTGGTTATTCTTGTAATGTGTAACTCAATAAAAATGTGACAGTGGTAGTAAGTCAGTTCATAATTTTACCATAATCGGAAATCGCGTGATCAGCTGTTGCTATGGTTACCCTTCCATTTATTTTATTTTTCCGTCTATTTAGTGCATTCTGCTGTAACATAACGTTTAGTGTTGCTAAAGTGTTATTTGCAAACGTGTTAGATAGGTTTAGGTTTTAGGTATTTGTTCTGCATTTAGAAAAAAATCAGTAGGCCTATTCGAAAATTTCATAATGGAAGTCATGCTAAATGTGTAAGCAGGAGAGTTTACCTTCATATTTAATTTCATAAAAAGTGTACACTCTACAAAAACAAAAATAGATGACACACCTAAGGCTAAAAAATGTACACAAGATATAAACTAATTGAGTCTGTATGTTAGGTGGTTTAAACTAAGATCATTTGTGAATATTGTGTGCTCATACTAAGTTATAGTTACCAGCTGAGATCTTTACACCTCACCCCTGGAACTGGAGCCATGTGATGTGCTGTGAGGTGTCTCGTAGTACAGTGAGAGACACGCTGTCAGTGATCTCCAATGAATAAATGGTAGTTTCTAAGCAACCTCACCTAACAGTATAATGTGTGTTAGTCTCCTGAGCCCATTTGGACATGTTGATCTTCCTGCTTGTTGCCAAAGAACCGAAGAAAAAAAAAACTATTAATTTAGGTTGTCACGGAGGACGCACAAACTGATCTTCTCTCCTCAGGAGAAGTTCAATGACGTGGATGAGCCAAAAAATGAAATGTTAGGTCTATACGCGCGTCTTCACAAACTCTACACACGTGAGGTTTTCTCAGTAATAAAAGGATGACTGTAACAATGACAATATCGTTATAATTATTTGAAAAAAGGAAGCCCACAGCAACTATAACGATAATGACACAGAGGATGTCGGTAGAATCACTTTCAGAACGATTTTCCAGCTGATAAACGATTTTAAAAAAAAAAAGAAGAAGAACAGAATAAAACAGAACGTTATCGTGCGTTGGTGTGGACACTATATCATTAGTTAGTTATCCGTAATTATCGTTCTTGGTGTGAACGGGCCTTTATACCGTGAAGCAAACACTGAAGAAAAGACACTGTTTACAAAGAAAAGTTGACCTTTTGAGACAGCATTCTCCTACAGTTGGCACATAGGCTATGTGGTAAGTCACACAGGAAATCTGCTGTCCGCGTGAACCGGAACCATACAAATAAGGAAAAACAAAACATATGGGAAGACTTTGCTACATAATTAACTGCAACCAGGGGCGTTAAGAGATCAGGGAAGGAGGTCTGCAAGAAGTGGCAGGACTTTGCAAACCTGGCAAAAAGGAAGGTCACTGCAGAGGATGGCAATTAAAAAAAAAACAGGTGGTTGGAGCAATGACTCTCCCCTTCTCACGGCAGAGGAAGAAAAGGCCTCGTCAATACTTCAGATGGAATTTGTGGTGGTATTGACCTCCATGGAGGAGTAGGGATGCCTCAGCCTGAGCCTGAGTCAGGTCCTTCATGCTCAGTTTTACCTGCCATCTCCCAGAACCAGCCATCTCCAGTCCCCCAAACAACTCTCATAGGCCTCAGCCTCCATCTTCAATTGTCCAGACCGCAGCCACAACACCTCAGCAGTTTGAGAATGTCTGTGGTTGTAGTCAGTGCAGCTGGGGATAAGAGGAACAACAATTTTCAACAGCAGCTCATTGACTCAAATCAATAAAACCATGTTGATTAAATGTTTTTGAAGAACTTTTTAACGGTTGTGAAGTAAATTCAAATTCAAATGTAGTACCTACAGCATGCGATTTGCTCTCACTCGCAACAAACTAACGGTTGGAGGGGCGTGGTTAAGAATATTCTGAACAAACCGTCAAACTGGCGTCATCAGAGAAGGAATACCATTCCAGAGCAAATGTTCAGAGCTTGATTAAAGATTACCAAGACAATTTTTTACAAAAGACAAGATTAACTTGTATGCCTTAATTGTTCACCTCAACACTAGCAATGTGCACTAACAAAGTAAATAGTGTAAATGTTGATGTCAAGCAGACTTTAACAGGTAATGCCTGAGACCGCAAACTGGAACATTCTTCCACACAATCCTGGAGGCGGTTCGGACAGAAGTGCACCAGCTCTGATGTAAGTCCTGAATAAATCATTAATCTAATGCTGGGTCCTGTTCAAACACAATACTCAATTATCTAAGCGGGCCCAGCAGCGAACACTGTTTTTATATACTCTA